TTGAGAAAATGGATAGAGTTAAACTCTGCCTGATACCCACCACATTCCACAGCCTGTGTGTGCAGTGGGGTCATTCCAGCAGCAGCGCCTCCATGGAATGTGAGATACGTCACGAACTCTGAGTAACTGTTAGGAGGATGTCTGCAGGTCCTATATCTGCTTGCTTTATGACTCAGGACTTCCAGGACTCCGCATACGCTGAAGCCTTAAAAGATTAAAACTTCCACAGTGTAACATTTCAACTGTAAATGGCATCGGTTGCTGCTACACATCCCAGGTCCTTGGCTGCTCTGCTGTTACCTTGCCATGTATTTCCCTGGATGAATTTTTTTCCTTAATTTACCTTTCCTCAGTGCAAGCATTTCTCATCTCCCTTTTCAGAATTTTACCTTTGGAGGCTCAGACTAGTTCTCCGGTTAGAAAAACATTTTTTATTCTAACCTTGTCCTTCAGAGTGCTTGCAAAATCTCTATTTCATTGCCTGAGTAAACAAAAAGCGATGACTAGAATGGGAACAGACCCTTTGAGATTCAAAAGACCTGTCTGAGTTTAATGACAACATACTCATAGTAATATTTTAAAATATTTTTAACTAGTTGTGTACCCATGTTATGGTGATTTTGTTTGCACTTTGGTTTTCCCAGTTTCAGAATGTTGCATCAAATGTTATCAAAACCCTTAAAAAGCTGTATCTCATCTACAGCTTTCCCTTTTTTCTACAGCCTGATTATCTCTCAGCAAGGGAAATTAGCCTGTTTTTACATTATTTCTCTTAAATAATCTAACAATTATTACTTTTATAATTTTGTTAGCCTTCAAGGTACCTGGAAATGCGTTGTTTAATAACTTGTTCTATTTTGGGGATGCTCAGGTTTTTGTAATATTTTATTTTATAAAATCTCTTCTATAATATTTGCATAATAACTTTTGCCCAAGGATCACCTTACAAAGCACAACCCCATTTGCAGTGTGAGACAAGGCTCTGGAACAGAACTTGTCCGTGCTAGTCCTAGTTCTGCAATACTTGCAATGATCAGATAAGTCTCTTACTGACTCTCTCCCACTGACTCCATTTGCTTCTCACTACTTATTTTCCTCTCAGGTATATTTTGAAGATTAATGAATATTTATAAAATGCTCTGAGTGAAAAATGCAACAGAATTTGAAAATGTCCTAATTACTGATGCCTTTTTTTTTTTTTTTTTTTACGGATTGAACTCATTGAGTCTTCTAATAATGTCCTTAAATGAGAGAAGGAGGTAATTTTCTCTCTCACTGCCTTTAGGGGATCATCAATCATGCATCAGTCATAAGTGTTAGCATTGCACCATGGCTGCCTTTTTTTCTTTTTCTTTTTTTTTTTTTTTTTTTTAAGGAAGCTATATTGCAATCAATATCCATGGAGAATTATGAGCTATAAAAATAGAGTCAGGACTCTAAAGGTACTGCAGGAAATTGTGGCTGGCGCGACTAAACTGAAGGTGAAAGCAACCGAGTAACGTGACAAAGAAAGCCTTGCAATGGCACAAGATCCAGCAGGCAAGTTTTGTTCATAATGCTTAGTATTGAAATATATGCAGGATGAAGTATTTGTATTACAGATGGATGATGAAATCCTTTTCAGTCTGCAAGTAATTAAAGATGAGGTTCATCATCATAAGTAACATTAATAACTTTAAAGCAGCAGGCTCAGATAACCTATACTAAAGAGCTCTAACAGAACTGTCAAGAGAGATCTCATTTGTAATACCTCCTTGCATTTCAGTGAAATTTCAGAAGGCTCATAGTGCTGTGCCAATGTTTAAGGAAAGAAAATTAAATAAACAGAGCAAGCAGGGTGACCCAGCTAGCTGTGTTATGGTTAACGTGACACCAGTCCCAAGTAGCACAGTACAAAAGCTGATACTTAGCCAGGTTGTAAATAAGTCAATAATTGGCAATAATTTTTATTTTTATCAACGTTGTCTTGTTGATAAATTCAATTTAATTTATTGATAAAGGTTGTAAGTCTGTTTCCTACAAATTAGTGTTGGAACGTATTTCACAACATATTTCACAAAGTGTTTGATCTACCACTGTGACATTTTGATAAATACCTTAAGTCTAGTGTCACTAAATACAGAGACATTTCAGTTGCCTGGGCCAGTGTGGGTCCAGAAGCAGGGCATCTGCTTTTGAGCAGGCACTTACCAAATCAGGTCAGCTTTAGCTGGGGATGTCTGCAATCATCAGTAACTTGGATCTTTCTTTTCCCTGGTTCGCCTTCACGATGTACTGTTGTAGTCTGATTTTGAGAGATTAGTGTTATTTTTACTTTTGCTTTATCTTAGCCTTTCTGTAAATATAAAATCACCGCTGATAGCATTTCTGAGTGATGCAGAGATTTTCTAAGATGTAAATTACTGTGAGTATAAAGCAGCTAGACAGAGTGAACAGTGGCTTAGGAAGGTTGGAATATTCACATGAAGGTTTTTTAATACAATCAAGTTCAAAGCAATAAGCCTAAGAGCTAAGATGCCAGTTCACTGTCACCTCCGGGACCAGGGAGCTGTGTTGTAGAAAAGAGTAATACCAAGAAAAAAAAAGGAATTGTAACACAAGGACACTGGAGGCATGCAAATATTCAGAACGATGCTCTTGTAGACAGGGGCAGTGCAATTAGGGAGAAGTGTGTAGAGAGACAGGGACATGTTGCTCTCTCTGTAGGTCACCCTTAACCCTGCCATGGAGTATGGCTTTGATTTCTGCAATTTAGGGAGGATATTCATGACTGGAGGGGGTACGGAGAAGAACCGTAAGTATGATTTAAGGAAAGAGGGGATGTCTTATAATGACATGTAAACTAAATAGAGCTAAGGTAGATCTAATTGCTAAGAAGCAGTTTGATTCAGTGGATATGCTGCTGAGCGGAAAAGCAATGCTGAATGCTGAAGAACTCTTCAATACAACAGGCTTTAGCAAAAACCAGTGGCTGAAAGCTTTAACAAATGTTAAATTAGGGATAACCTTTAACACTGAGGAAACAAATTATCAGATGCATTGGACAATTCTCCATTATTTGGAGTTTTAAATCAAGACTGAAAGTCTTGTCTTTCTGGATGATAACTTGTATTTGAATAAAACATATCTGGATGAATGAAAGAATGACAAAGAGGTATAAGACAATTTCTGTGCTGGGAAAACTGAGTAGTTCTTGATTTGTTGGCATAGAGAAGAGATGACCTAGAGGAAATACGGTAGCTCTGAAAAAATACTGGTGTCACGAAAGAGTTAAATGGTTTGCTTAGGGTACATCGTGAGTCAGTGGGAAAATTATGAATAGAAGCTAAATGGTCTCGGTCCTGTAGCTGCTGTAGCATCCAGTGCTGTTCAAGAGCATGCATAACCAGTCTCATTGGTCATCCTGAATCTAAGCATGGAAGAGCTGTTTGTTGAGTGTGGTTTCAAGAGTAATTTAGCCAGAGCAAAGAGAATAAAGTGGAACGGGAAGAAAAAAGAGCAGAGACACAGGCAGAGACAATTGTGCTATACCTTACACAGAACCTGAAGGAAATCTTTGGACTAGATGATCTTTAAGGTCCCTTCCAACCTAGACGATTCTATGATTTGGCCATGGTGGTACAGGAAAAGTTGGTGTTAATGGCAGCGAGAGGGGATAATTAATTCTTGAATTTTGAGCATAGCAAAACAAAAAGCAGAAAAACTTCTGCTCTGATTCAGATGCAATAAAGGACAAGAAAGAACAGACTTAGTGAAATAGGGGGAAAAGGACTTTCAGAGCTTTACAGAAGACCAAATTCTTATTTCTTCTTTTCAAACAGTAGAACTGACAAATTGAGTTAGCACGAAATACAGATGTGGTGAAGTATCATTCTAAAAGCTGTTCAGTGCTGGTAGGAATTATTCCATTGTTAAATATACTGAGAAGCTGGTTGGAAGCAGAGCATGACCTAATGGGTCTAGCATTACTCTTGCAGCTGTGTGAAACCATTCAAATAAATAAACAGCCCAGCAAAGAAAGTGTGCTGGATTTTTAAGATTCTTCTAGTTTAACGGGATGTGCCAAGTCATTGTTTTAATTGTGGGCCAGATCCTTAAGTGCTGTGAGGTGCCTAGCTCCATAGCAAGCACTGAGATGGTGCTGATTTTCACAATTTGATAATCTGGTCCCCCAAATTAAATCCTTCTCATGGTCGCCCTGGTGATACCACTATGAAAGGCTGTACAGAATGGCACAGACTTGCCTGCTCTACTGCGATATCAGAGGGACTATGGATGCCTAAATTAAAGCAGAATTTAATTCATCCTTACCTGATGAGTCCCTCTGGGACTGGCACAGATTTTGGTTTTACTTTCACTGTAAGAGTGATGCTGGGAAGCAGGATTACTGATGCGAGAAACTTAATTGGGGTCCTCCCTGACACTTCCATTTGTCAGAGATCATTCTATTTGGAATCATTCAGTGGGATTAATTGCACTCAAAATTATGCTTCAAATTCATATCGTAGGAGACTTTGGTACTGCTATTGTTTAAGGTAAAAGCCCAGACCGTACATACTGTATATGGCAATATATGGATTCAGGGATTTATCTAGCACACCCCAATCCCCTGTTTTGCAAGAATGTTTTTGAGATACAAAATAAATACGTTTTCAGTGGTCAGTAGCCAGGCTCACTGACCTATTTCTGCCTTCAGCATTTCTTCTTTATCTGAGCAGAGCCAGGCACACAGGAACTTTGTGACGGGAGTGCTGTGTGCCTATGCTAATGAAGGGCTTGGGTTGAAGATTCGGTGTGTTACTGGCATGGCCTCCCAGAGGTCTCTAGTTCTCACTGTTCCACCTTAAGTCAGCAGGAGCTGCCTGTGCCTCTCCTCTTTGAAAGTCAACCTCAAGATGTTACCTTCAGGCTTCTAGCTGTTCAGGTCAAGTCACAAGATTACACCTGTACTAACCTGCCTGGGAGCTTTGTGATGCAGATGCAAAAACATCAGAGAAAGATTAATATAACCAGCCATTGATTTATTATGTTCTCGGAAGTAAGGGATAAAGCAGGCTGGCGTGATGCCCTGAGCCCAGCCTCCACGACGATTTCTCTTGTCCTGACATACATCCACCAGCACTTATCTTGTCTGTTCCCCTTCCTCTCCCTTTAGCTTCTCAAACTTCAGGAGTTTCTTTTGGCAGGCATGCTCCTCACTATTGCTGCTGCTGCTGCTGGAGCTTTCCTCGGAGCTTTCGGAGAGGAGATACTTCATTGCCATCATGTCCTTCTTGTTCATTTGCAAGCAGAGGCAGGAGGATTCGCTCACTTTAAATGACTCCCCCCACATATTCTGGCACATGTCAGTCCCATTTGCGTACATCTGTGTGTCAAATAAGAAAAGCATCAATTACATTTAAAAAGAGTTGGGTTAAAATCAATTTGTATCAAATTGATAAACACTGATCGCTTTTAAAAAATTGGTACTAGATAAAAAAGCAGCCTGCAGTCATTCACTGTCTTGCTGTGTGCCATGCTTCACCACTTCTGAGATATCTTAAAACGTTATCCAGTCCCACCACTGGCAAAAGAGATTTCTCTGTTGTGAAAGCAAGTGATTATACAAAGTGCAAAGCGATCAACAGCCAGCCCTTGGTTTCCACCCTGGGGCTGACAGCCCAGCGAGCTTTCTGGGTCTGGCAGACCAACGCTGTGTGTGCGAGGCTGTACAATTTGTAGCATGTCAGGACACTCTGACATATCTTGGGATCTGAGTAGTGCTGAAAGCACCAGACTGAGTGTTTTGAATACAGGAATCTTTATATCTACAGGCTAGAGACAGCCCAGTGGAGTCACGGCTCTCACTGTGCCTGCTGCAATGTACATCGTGACCGGGCAGGACCTCACAGACGAAGAGAAGGGACATAACTTAGAAATGGCTTGAAGAGAAGTTGTTTTCTTCAAGCTTCTTAAGTGCCGTGTCCAGTGGTGCAATGGCCTTTCTGGCTCAACAAATTGTAAACTGTAGCTTCTTGCACTCTCTGTCAGTGAATCTGTCCTATTCTCCATACTACATCATTTTGTAAGGCCTGTGTCGTAGGACCTGTACAACCACACAACAGAGAGATTTCTCCTTTGCCAAGCTCACAGTGTGACAACCTTCTGTCTGCCCAGCTTGAGTCTGGCTACAAAGTAGTAGCTTAGGAGTTATCAGGTCCAGCCACAAAGTATGCAGGATACATAATTTATCTTGCCTGCATTTCTCCCATGTGTTTCTGATTGAAGTTCAATCTTTTCTGTGTCTGTAAAGGAAGCTCTAGATACTCCCAGAAGCAAAGCTAAGAATCAAGTTGGGGCTGGGAGTGAAAGCAGGAGTAGGAGCCTTGGGAATTAAGGAGTGGGAGTGTTAATGACTGAAACAGTGGGCCAGGCAGGCAGGTCTGCTGGGTTCTGTTGCTGACTGATTCACCTTGACTGTGTCACCAGCCCCTCTCTGAAGGAAGCTGTGTTTCATCTGTAATAGTACGAGTAGTCCTTGCACATGACACTGATTATTTGATCCTATGGTGTTTCTCTTTATGCTCTAATTTCTGGACAGTGTGCTGGTTTACCATCATTGCCAGCTCATATCAAGATCTGACACTTTGTATCTCGGAGAATGTGCCCTGCCTTTGTGGTTGGGAGATTTCTGCATGGAAGTTGCTCTGTGTGCAAAAAGTTAATGATTACGGAATAAAGTCTATTATGTGGAAGTGAGACTGGGGATCTGTAGTCCTGCAGCTTCCTTTGCTCCGCCTATTTTTCACAAGCTTTTTCTTATGAGATCATAGAATGGTTTGGATTGGAAGGGACCTTAAAGATCATCAAGTTCCAACCCCTCTGCCATGGGCAGGGACACCTCCTACTAGAGCAGGTTGCTGAAAGCCCCATCCAGCCCCTGGCCTTGAACACTTCCAGGGATGGAAGTCTCCCCACTTCCCCACATGCAAAACTATGTTGACCTATGCTGGGCAGGAAAGCAGACGAGAAGAAATCATAATCATCACTTTTGCCTTAGAAATCTATCCTTTGTGAATAGTAGAAAGTCCATTGCAAATAGCCCCAAACTCTCTGTAGTCTGTAAAATAGCTTTTCAGTTCACACCATCTCTGGCCAGGGCTCGCTCCACAGATGCTGCAGTTGCTGGAGGAGGAGAGTGGAGTTGGCTAGTGCACTGACAGCAATGCAGGGTCAGAAATGGAAAGGTTGCTGCATCTAGTTCTCTCCTTGTGTTCTCAGGGCAGGCAGATCTTAGCTGTTTGTTTCCCGCTATTCCTGTGCTTTTGAGCACCGTTAGATATTTTCTTCCAGCTCCTGTACAGTTCCTGGATTTCTACCTGCTTTCAGCTAATCATTCCAGAAAGTATTAAAAGCTGTCATGTGGGTTTTCTTAGGTCTGTATGCAAGGGGTATGGCTACATCCTATTCTTGTGTCCCACAGGTTCTGTAACATGTATTCATGCTCTTCTACTTGCTAAACTGGTAATTTTATTTGACCTTCCTCCTAACTCTGCTTAAAGATCAGAACGTAGCCAGAATGCTGCAGCAAACAGCGCCCACTTACCAAATGTGTCCCTAAATTACTGCAAAGGATTCTGATTCTTCAGCTTCTTGGAAAATGTTCTAGCCTGTGCATTGACATTGCTTGGGGAGCACTCAGCTGGGAGAACAATGACAAAATGTGCCTCATTTTAGCCAGGCTAAAACTGGCTATGATTCCGTTGTGCATTCTTAATATTCAGCATTTGTTCCATATTCAGCATTTGTTCCAAATAGTCCTTACAGCCACTTGCATACGTCAAAAGTAGGGCTGCTGATTGCTCCTCCGTGTGGGCTGAGGGCATCAAAAGAAAGTAAGCAGCTGTCCACAGTTCTCTGGCATCGGAGAACTCTTTGTGCTTCTTGGGTAACTTCCTTTTCCATGAGTTGAGCCCAAACTGAGCGAGTCTAACGTTTGTGCATCATGTCATTTTCATACGGCAAATGTGTTTTTTAAATTTCTCTGAAGAAACTTAATCTTTATTCTTACTTACCATGCAAACCTATTTTTGGTGAAAAATATGGGCAGTTTAGGGTGTGGTTCCATTTAGTTTAGGAATAGCTGCGCCTGGCTTCAAGTGATAAGACCTCTGGATTTGCTGCATGTTTTTCCCTGCAGATGGTATATTTTCTTTACGAAATAAATACAAGGGGATTCAAGGTTAAAAACTCCTATCTCTGGATGAGGGACAGTTTGAACCAGGGACTGGAGATTATTTACAGAGATTATCAGTTCGTTTTTCACTTCATCTGGAACTACTGATGATTTAGCACATCTGGGAAACTAAGCTGCAAGTTTCCGCAGCCCATTTGTTTTTTGGCCATCTGCCTGAGCCTGCTGATTAGTGTCACTTTTGCAAGGCAGACAGCAATCCTGCACTAACTGGACTGTGAGCTCCACTTATATCAGTTGCTGAACTGACTTCTGGAACTATGTGCACTTGAATTGAATTCAAAACAATGAATCTGGGATCTCTGCAAGCCGTACTACCAGTCCCTAAGTGCTACACTTAAATTTCATTTACTTCTGCAATTTGGACAGTTTTCATGAACTCAGTGAAGTCCAACTGTTAAAAATATTCAAATAAGCGTAGCAGTTTGAGCTGTATTATATTGCCATGATGCTAAACTTGAGTCACTAGAAAAAATCCTCCATGACTCTTGAAAGGTCTGTAGATCAGGCTCCAGGCAACCTTTCTCTTATAAGCCTTGTCAGTTCTCATTTTACACACTTTTGCTTGTAAAATTAGTTACCCCAACCATTAAACCTTCTCAGAAAGGTGGGATGAGCTCTCAGAAAGCTTGTCAGTGCTGCTCTTTCACCATCAGAGTTAATAGAACAAAGTTAGCTCTGCTTAGCCATTGGCAGACACAATGGAGAACACACGTCAGAGATATGACAGGTCTATGGAGAACAGGAGGGAGACAATTAGCAGAATGTCAGGGATTTGGAGAATAGAGAAGGACTTGTACATAACAAGGTAAATTAGAGAAAAGGGCAAAGATGCCTAATAGGCAAGAAAACTTTAAAAATTCCTTAGTGATTTGGGAAATTACATCCCAATTTAAAAGGAGGGAGGTATGTACAGCCCCACGTTATGTAAGGAACCTTATAAAATGCATCTCAGTGTCTCTGTTGTAGGAACAAAGTTCATCTTTTACTTTCTAAACCCCACTATGGTTAAAATATCAGTGCTGCTTGAACTTCTACTTTTGTTTCACAAGTGATATGAATAGTGATTAATTAAATAGATATAGAATTAGAGTAAGCAATCTACATTAATGTTTTAAAATTTACACACTTAAAAAGTCTGATGTAGGTATGGCTTGAAACTGGTGAAGTAAAAATAATTTTTGCACCTGTTGCATTTTACACCCATATATTCAGAAAAAAAAAAAAGAACTCAATGCTATTTTTTCTGCTCCAGTTGATCAGGTTTTCTTACCTCACTGTATGGAATACATTTATTCTTACAGTGGTTTTCTCCACTTTCATCCCATTCCCAGTCCGTCAGCCAGTTATGAACACATATGGAATCATCTTTGCAGGCTTCATACCTTCATGGAGATTAGTGTGGAAGAAACAGTTATTTCTCTCACTTTTTTCCGGTGGACTCAGATTCAACTCAAAAAGACTACGTGGGCTGTGCTACCAATGTTGTATAGTTGCACAGTGCAGCTTAGCAACAGATCTTCAAGAAATGTACACATTATCTTAGTTTGACATGTACGTAAACTCAGAGCTGGCCAGGAAAACCTAAATCCCTATGAAAACTAAACAGTTCACCCACTACATTTTATACTCACGGGCATAAGTAAAGGGCTCATGTTCTGAGGAGCAACTCTCATTCATGCAATGTTTGCTGCTTGGTTATGTTTGCTGATGTTACCAAGTGGAGGAAATACTGTGTGGGAGGGTGTTTCATGAAGGCTGATGTTCAATATTGTGACAGCACAGGTATGCTAAGAGTGAACTGTCACTTGAAGGAGACGTGGGGAAAATTTGTATTTATGAATTAATAAGGGAAAAGAACGATATTCCCTGGGCAGGGGGTTGCTATGAGGAAAACCCACAAAGAATAAAATCATATTCACTAATAGGCTGTCAGCCTCAGAACGACATTTTCAAAGAAGTTAAACTTGAAGTAAAGGAGGAAAGAAAAGTCTTGTAGGGTATAGGTCTAAAATTTAAATTTTAAGTTATTTTTAACTTTTAAGCTGTAATGTGGAAAAAAAAAAAAACAGCCTATAAATGGCCTGGAACGAGTATGGTATGCAATTGGCCGGTTTATGTGATGTGAGATCTCATGACTTACCATTATCCTACATAATTTCCTTCCTTCCTTCCTTCGACTTCTTTTTATGTTCTACTTTTTGGCTCTTACCTTTCTTAAAGATCACTTTTTTCAAATCAGTTAACATCTACTTAAATTTAGTCTCAATGGCTTCAGGTGGACTATTCACACCGGTAACTGAAAGTGTCAAAACCATGAGCACGGCTTTCAAAAAGTTAGCATAGTTCAGCACTGTATGTATAATTAATGCCTCTGGACATATTTTCTGTTTGTCATTTTTAATCTTCAGGGACTTGTTTCCAAAACTACTTTGATATCACGCAGACTTATATTTTTAAATGAAATATGAGGATGTTATGTGGTCATGGAACTACAAGAACTAGACATTGCAGTACATTTGCACACACAGAAAGGTAAAAACATGCACACCTGCAGAACCTTCACATAGGTTTTCTGGGCTTTTTTGGAGGGAGAAAGAGCAGTAACAGATGGAGGGTAACCAGGGCCTGAACTGAACAGGTCTAGGGCAGGAGACATGTATTCTCAAATGTGTTCATCCATAAATCTGCTGTCAGAGGTAGGGACTCTGCTGGAAATACAAGCTGCAATTTGATAAATTAATATAATATGACATTAATAGGCAGATCCTACCAGTTTGTGCCATGACTGGATTTGGGACTAGGGACTATAAGAATAATTGGTTTGTTGTTTATTAGCTGCTGTGAGTACCCTGACTTGAGAATGACAAACAGAGGTAACTTCCCCATGACATACTCGAAGGCATGCCCAGTTAGGAGCATCAATGCAAACTTTTTGTTAATCACCATCTATGAACTCTCCACATAACCAGCACCAGATTCAACAATTAGCCCTTGACTCTTCAAGCCGTGTAGGCGTGAGGTTTACTTTATGTATGCACTTAAATTCATTGCTTTCTAGCAAAGTTGATCAATATCTACTGCGAGCTGCCTAATAGTAGCACTTCCACTTAAAACACTTGTGCCCTTCCCAGAGTCTTCTCTTTTAGTTTCCTTTTTGATTTGGCTAAGTGTTTTTCAGCCTGATGGGTTCCCAGACCAGGGTTGCTTCACAGCCTCTCAGACAGGGCCGCTGGTACACAGGTGGGCACAGGGTAAGGGAAAGAATGAGCAGCCCTTGGGGCTTAGGAGAGGGCAGAACTGCTTCTTTTGAAATTAGTGTCAGTTATACTTTTCAAATTATGAGTAAGTATGTAATGAATATGTATTTCAGAGTTTTATAGAACTGGGGCATTCATGCTATGCAGCTGGTTTCCTCAGGAATTTGAATTAAATATGTTTATTACAGTATTTATGTTTTTTATTCACTATTATCTATTGAATTGTCAGCTGAAAAGTTTCCTAATTAGGATTATTGCCTGACTCTGTGGTTTATTATCTAAGCAGGTAGCAAACCATAACTATTGTTACGAGTTTTTCTTTATCCCAATGGAAGTAATTATGAAGCTAAGTTTATGAAAAATCACGACTTATGAAAAATCTGATTTGTGCTGTCCAGAACCCCCGTAAGTGGTTTCTTCAAGCATTAATTAAAATCTGTGAGAAACATAAACATAAATACTTAGAAGATCCTCCCTGAACATACTAATTCCCTAATGCATAAGGGGCAGGATATTTTTGTTTTAAAGCTTCTTTTCCCCCTTTTTATAATTAGTTGTTTCTCTTTTAAAGGGCACAGGGCCCTTCCACAGGTGGATCTAAAAATGGCTCGTATATTGGGCTCTTTCAAAAGCAATAGTTTTAGGACTAGTGGGAGCAAGGAATCCTAAGACAATAGGAAGAAAAGGAAGGCCCCAAGCTAGTCAGATGAATTTCTTTTAAATGAAGTCACTGCTCGTTCAGAATCCTCTGCACATTTCTGGCCACAAAGACATACAGTATGCAGCAGGCACACTCACTGCATGTAGAGAAAGTAGGTCACATCACTAGCAGTGCTACAGCACGCTAAAGGGGCTCCGGTGAATAGAACATGAAAAAATGTTACTTTAAATCACCAGAAAGAGTGGGAATTTTGTCCAGGCTCTTTTCTAGCCTCAGGCCTTAAGCAGGATGAGGGAATGGGTTTGACATTGGCATTAGGCAGGCACACAGACGAGCATGCATGGTAATGGGTCATCATTCCATTTTTGATTCAGGCCAGGCATCTATGACGCCAACAGGGGCAATAGATCATTGTTCAGTGTTTGTTTAGAGTAGAGCCTCCTCTCTGCCAGGAGACTCCATACTGGGAAAGGGTCAGTTTTTCCTGTGCAGCAGCTCTCAATCACACGCACCCAGAGTTCCCAACAACAAAAGTTACAAATGCTATTTACCTGGAGGTTCGGGCAATACCAAGGGGACACTGAGGCTTTTGCTATGTGATACTGACCCACCATATGCACTATGGTATAAATCTCATATATGCTAACCCTGGTTTAAACCATAGATGCAAACTAAACTTACAGGGTATGTTTTCTTTCGTCTTTACAGTTTCACTAGATATAGCAGTTTGGTGATGACTTCGTGTGCCACTTATTTTGGGATACATTTGCTTTAGATATTGGTATTCTATTGCTTTGCCTGTTAGATCTATTCTAAAGCTTACTGGCAACTTCAATGCCTTAAAATCCAAATGCTTTCAAATTTTGGTAATACTTGGTTCTGAGCTTGAGATTCTGAGCACTGAGGCAAATTCAAGGTCTCAGTCTTTATCTTCAAAGTGACCAATAATCTGGATTCGGTTTAGTAGATTACCAAAACTTTAGGAAGAAACACTGCACATGACAAATCTGTTTCTGAGGCATATGGAGTTTCCATAACACAGAAATAAAATTCATCTCTAGAGGAAACTCTAGGGAAGCTAAGAAATACATCAGGCCTTCTTGCTGTCTTCCATTACAAATCCAAGCTATGCTTCTTGTTTCCTTCTCTGGCACAAAGCAGTGGAGACATATTTTAAGACAAATCCTACAAAAATACTGCAGGGCATACATGAGTTTGCCCTTGGAGAGAAGATGAGAGTGAAAATGGATCCATGTGTCAATAATATTCAAGTTGCGTAACCCCTAGGGAAAGCACTGTACAGAGCAGCACAAGAGAACCTGACCATGCACTACTGTGTGTTCTGTATTTTCTGTGCTTCCAAGAAAAGCTCTTTTATAACATTTTTAGAAGTATTAAAACAGTTTTCTGTGATTTTCAGAGCAGCCTGAGGGATTCAGACATTCACAGTTCATTACTTTCAAGGGATGCTAGCAGTTATAATCCTGTAGTGTGAAAACAGCCTGTACTGTTTGTACTATGCTTACTACTTGCTTTCATTAACTAGACTCAACATAGATATCGTACTGACTGAGATTGATATGACCATATTTAAGATCCAACATTTTGTAACAGGGAAAGAGGGAGAGAGAGGTATATGTTGGACATGAAGCACTGAAAAAATCTCGGAACCCCACTTGGATATAATGCTTCTACCCCGAGACTAAGGACAGAGAGGTGCTGGGTTGTCCCACTACATGTATTGCACTCAAAAAATAATGTGATTCCCTGATGCTGTATTTTTGGGAAACAAAATTAAATGCTATTATGCTTGCTCATTGCTATTAATATTTTTAGCATTACTTGGCTGCAAGTTTCTTTAAAATCTGGCTTTTAGAAGTGGTTTTAGAGAGAGAGGGATGATGGAGGGGAAGAGAAAAGGCCAAGGATGAAAAATGAAGGAATTAAGTTAATTTGTTATATGAATTAATTGAAAACATACAGGAAGTTGCTGCTTTTGTACTGCATTTCATACATATAAAAGAAATGGATCATATAACGATCGAGTGTTTGGATTTAAAATGCTAATTCCATAATTGCTAACTCACAGGCACGGACTTTGCTGTTGCTGCACTGTTTCCTCGCAGAGAGCAGGGCGCTGCTGTCCCTGGGTCACTAAACTCTGGCACTAAACTCTGGCAGAGTTTAGTAACTCCATCCTGCATTCAGCCTGTGTCTATTATTTTGGGGGTAGTAGCTTAGCAGAGGAGAATGTAGAGATGGGAAACAAGACATGAAGAGGAAAAACAAGAGAAAAGGTGTAAAGGTCGTACACCACTATCGAATCTTACTGCCACTTGATCAGGAGATCTGTGCTTTACCCACCCATGCTTCTTGACACCTGAGTAACACAGGCTAAATACAAATACTTTGATAAAAAGTGGAACCTACCAGTCATCACAAAAGCTTTGGCACAATGGAACAGACTGAATAGCGGCAGTGGAGTTGGGATGGATCCAGTGAGCAGCATGTGGAGAACACCGGTAGAAGCACTCAATTTTCTTTGTGAAATCTTCACAGCTGTGGTGGGTGAGAAAAGCCACAAATAAGCCTGTTTCTTAGCATCAAGGCTATAGCCTCAGTTTTCTAGGCCTGCTTTGATGTGGATGCAATACTTACAGATTAGGACAAAAACACAGAAAAGCATCCTTTTGCCCTGTTAATGTCTAGGTTCCAGACTCATTCCTTTGGCATTGTGTACTGACTCTGACTGTGCAATTACTGTAGCCAGCTGAAGAGTGCACAAATGTTTCCATGCATATTTCAGCCCTATTTGTGTAAGCTTTCCGTAAACTTCTGAGGCCTTGAGTTTTCCTGGCAAGAACAATTTCAGGCAATAATGAAACGTACTTTAAAACTATAGTACAAAACTTCTTCTATGCTATAGCCTTATGGCTTCATTAATCTTTACATTTTCCCACAGCCCAGCTGAAGTTACTTAAAAAGGCGTACTGTTGCTGCTCTTCTGGGAGTGGCAGGCAAGAGCTGTTACTTTTGCACATATGTTTTTGCTTAATTGTTTTGTACTTTCATTCTTTTATTTCTATAACTTGCCATGTTTCACAGCTCTAACATCTAACGGGGTACTAAAAATCTTAATTATGAAGACATTCTTCATGGTTACAAAACCCACAGGACTACAAGAATTTTTATTCGAAGTATTCAGAAGTTTCATTTCTGGACTCTTGTGCACTTTGTTTGCAAGATTTAATAATCTAGTCGATCTGCTTTCTAAACAAAGGAAGAAGCCTGGTCTGTACTGACTTGGGGTCACACTCACTGGTATGCGATGGTTCCTTTGCACGGCTACAGAAATGTGGTGTGGTTGTTACCTATTGGGTTTATGACTGCTTTGCGTTGCTAGACCTGGTTCTGTACTGAAAGCAAACTTGGAAAAAACATAATGACTGCTTTGCGTTGCTAGACCTGGTTCTTTACTGAAAGCAAACTTGGAAAAAACATTACCCTTCAAAAAACATTACCCTTTCTTGATAAAATGTCATAAATCCTTCTGCAGAAATAGTGCATACTTAGAGAGAAAAGAAGAGCCAGACATTGGTCAGGTACAGATACAAGATGATGGGAACTAGGCTGGGTGGCATCATCCCTTGGGCAACTTAGGACCTCTCCATCAGCAGCTCCAGGAGAAGTTACCGCTAGCTCTGTGGCTGCTGCAGCATGGATCTATTGAACCAGGACACAGACAACATCAAAGCTGACTTACGATTTACTGAGCTGCCCACATCTGTTCCAGTAGCTGTTGTTTACTTTAATTACTGGGGAATGAGCCAATTGCTCTGTGAAGTCTGCATAGCAACAGGAAGCTGTCAGGAATAAAAGAGAGATCTTGCAATAAGGGTTTTCTTTAATACTGTATTTGGAAGACTCAAAATGTAAGATCAATCTGTTTTGGTCCATAACATGATAAAGTCTCTTAATACTAACTAGGTGATGTACTCAAGCTGAAACATTTTTGGTTTGGGAAAGTAGCAGTGTAAAGTGAGGTGGACTGGCATCAACAGGGCTTTCTCAAGGTGTGCCCAGAGAGCCTTGAGAATTTTACTAGTGTTCTGTCAGATGTTATATCCTGAGGGATACTAACTTTGAAAGCTACCAAACAAAAAGAGAGTTGAAGAGATGTAATAAATGCTATACTTTACTCATGACATAATTTTAATTTCAACCATTCCCATTTGGTGTCTGCTACAATTAAGTAATTTTTATACTTTATCACAATGAACCAAATTCATCTTTGCTGTAAACTTTTTTAAGCAGATGGAGCTACTGGAAAAGTAAACTGCATCAGAATTTTTTAAAGATAATGAATGAAGTCAGTGAGAGTTTTGCAGCTGACTTACAGAATCTTACTCTGATTTACATGCAGCAAAATGCCAATGAAGGAAGCTTTTCAAATGCAACTTATACTGCATCTTACATATTTTTGAGAAATAAAAGGAACTACCAAAACAATTAGTATATAAAATGAAGTAGTATATTTAAGTATGTTGTACTTCTAGACCATATTTGGCAAAAATTAAACAACTCTTACATTTGGAGTACAGAGTGCACTCGTGCATATTTGGCTCAGGACTTGGCTTCACTTTGTGGGTGCCCCCTTCCAGACATCCATATTTTTGGCAGGTAGATGACGTTATGACAGCAAAGAGGGTGACAGCAAACCTCAGCATTGTTGTTTGGTTCTTTTTCCTATATGGAGAGAAGTCTTTATTTATATCATTTGTTACTAGGAGAAGGCATAACATTAAAAAGAAAGACTGCTTAAAAAAAGCTACATAAATAACCAAATAAAATAGGCTCAGCAAAGATGCACACATAAACATTAAGACATATGTTCTCCCTTTCTCTTTGCTTATATCTGAACACTTCTGATACGTATTTTTGAGGTTCGGTGACAAGTGATAAAAACCACCAACAGTTCAGGCTATTTATGGAAACATGTTACAATTTTCAGTATTTAAGAAAATTATTTTAAGTTTCTTACACTGACCTGAATTTATCTTCGAACTCTTCCAAGAGACATTCCTCTGCTTTACTAGATATGAGGAAAGGATTGCTTAGTTCTAAAACTTTCAGAGTTGTTTTGCACACTTGGAAATTACACATTTAATACAGCTGCAAGTGAGCTAGTAGTGGTCAGCACCTGAGCTGGATAAATTACAATGATAACTTGCCTTTCTTGAGGCTATGCTAATTTATAGTTAAGAATTGGATCCATTATTTTCTGCCTCTTTTGTAGACTCTGGTCAAAAATGCAAGATAAAAGCCTTTTGTCTGTGAGACTAAAATCTCCCTAAACAGACTACATATTAGTGAGCTATATAGATAAATTTAGAACCTGTTACATAAATCAGTACCTAATTCTTTACACATATCATTAATTTAACCCTTCATTCTGCAGTTGAATATTCCCATTATCCTTTTGGAATAATTTTGCCTGAACAAGGACTGCAGCTCCTCTATGTATGTAGACTTTTCAGATATAAAGAAAACAACATGTTACGGAAGGAGAATACTGTCTCTCCAATTTCTCAGTAGTTTCTCACCTCTTTTGCTGTCCTCCTGGGTGATACTTCTCCCTGGAACAGGAACACAGTAAATTGCTTTTCTCATTTTCCAGTTTATATACACACCATCTGGCATCAGTGCTCCAGAATTTGTTTGCCCTGGAAGAGTTCCTTGACCCTTTGCAATGCTAACATAGATTTATCTCAAAAGCAGATGCAATGACCAGCACATAACGCCCTTTTATTGCTTGCAAACGTTGACATGATAAAGAGGAATGTACAAACATAGGTTAGAATTAGAAAAACAACAGCTCTCCTATATACCAAATACAACTACCCCCCTGCCTGATTTTTCAATGATTCCTTTTATTATTAATTATTAGATTAATTTCTACAACAGTTTCATGGGGCTCTTATCACAGATTAGGACTTCACTGAATTAGAGATGTTAAAAACAACACTTCATATTTCAGCCTGACTGGCTTAATTTTGACTGCAGATATATGATGACTTGCCTTGGCTTACACTGTGATTTTACTGCAGTCCCTGGAAGAGAATCCACATCTCCCTATTCCCAGGTCTTTGCTCTTTGTTCACAAGATCCCTTTATAACCTGCTGCTGTTTGCTCTGGTTGCTCTACCTGCCTCTTATCTACCCTCCAACCAGTGTCAGAAGCACTACAAGAAACTGTTGCTTGGACCATTGACAGTGATTCCTGATCGGATTTCATTGTGAGATCTGCTTTCTGCAAAGAGGATTCTGCATCTGAACATAAGCCATCGCATAAGGTAGAGACATGGTGATTACAAATAGTTGCACTTTTATTTTCATAGATCAAATCTTGTTGAGTACTGTAAAGAGCAGCACCACTTGCTACTTTGCAACCGCTTAGATGTGTAAGGAGAGTAGCATCTGTTCATTTTATGTTTAAAACAGAACACTGGTTTATCAGATAATACTCTGGGGCCATTATTTACAAACTTTTTTTGCTTGAAAAAACAAACATTGGCACAGTGGAAGCGGGGTATGAATCTCATTGAGCAAATTCACTGAGCATGATAATGAAACAATCTCTATGAGCTATAAGCACTGATTCTTACCCTGGCTCTAGTAAATGCCTCAAGGCAAAAGTGTTGCTGGCCTAAAAAGAACCATTTCCAGATCAGTGGAAACTGAGCGATTTTTATGTTCCAGAATGAATTTAATTAAGACAAGTTTAAAGAATGAATTTAATTAAGGCAAGTTTAAAGAGGCATAAAGTTACTATAGGAGAAACTGAAGTAAATCTAATGGCTTATTACCCACGCCTTCACCTCATGGGGCTTGATCTAATGTTGGCTGAAATTAACGGAGCTCCTTGCTGATTCGCAAGGTAAAGGATTCCTGCATACTGCTTGGCACTTTATTCACCCAAAAGAAAGACCACAGTATAATATGAACACTCATTTTCTACCTTGTGATGAGTGGTTGGGCTAGCCAGCCCAGTAAAAAACACAGAAATAGTACAAGCTCTGTGCCTTATTGCTCGGTTTGCATAAAGTATCTGCACGCTCGTAAAGGTGTAAGCAGGCCAGGAGGTTTCTTGTAATGCTGCTGTTCACCGAATTGACATACAAATTATATTAAGCTATAGGAAACTGGGATCTCTTTCAGGCTTTGAGTATGAGCCAAATGGGATCACTTGCTGGGAGATTAGGCAGAGTTTCTAGCAGCGGGAAGGAAAATTGTCATATGTTTGTGATTTCTCAGACTTGGCTTTGGTTAGCAATACATATAAGCAGGCTCAGGCTAAGGAGCTTTTAGAGATCTCAGCTACACATCTTCATCACCTGAGAACTGAATCTTGATCCTTTGTTCTTATTCTCTGGCTAGTTATTTTGTGTGATGTCTGATACTGAGAAATTTGTTAAAGGAAGTTTCTTACCCCTTCTCATACTTGAATGGGTCATTTCTCTACATTTGCTAAAATTGAACTCAGCGATGTTTTTGTACTTTTAAGACTCCTACTGCCATTTAATTTTAACTTTAATATCAGTGCCCTGTAACTTCTATTCATCTTTTCAAGCTGCGCGATGTTAAGAGAAAGGGTTAAAGCATGTATGATGTTAAGATATCACCACAGACAGAAATTCAGGCACCACAACATTAAATTATTATTATTATTATCATCATCACCTGATGATCTAATTGATAGTGGCCTATAACGCTAGTAAAAGTAAGCATCTATTCCAAAGCCACAAACATTGCTATACTAGGTCTCAAGAGCCATCTACCCGAGCAACTTCCTTCTAGCAAGAGCCATTAGCAGAAAACTAGGGGAAAAAAAGTTTAAAAAATAAAGCTAGCTGCTAACTTCCCAGCTTCTGGCAATCAGCTTAGTAACTATGTCAACTGACATCTCCTAACTCAACATAGTGATTCCTTTTTTGTGAGTCAGATCTCTTTAACAACTGAAGTAAGCTTTTACGGTTTTATATTCTTGGTAACTCTGCAAAGCCGATGTGGTTAAGGGAAAAATTGTTTGCACTTCCAACCAGTGACAACTGCCAGATCCATTTCCCTTCTTGGCATCCTGAAAGTGTAACAACAGTGTGACCAGAGGGAGAGAGAGTTTCAGGAACGTAAATTAGAGCATTTGGCCTGTTATAGCTTTATTGTTGATGGCAATGTGTGCTAATGAAATTAATCTGTTTGTTCCTTGTATCTCAGTGTGAGCCTGCACACTCAGTTGGAAGTGTTTTTCTCGTTAACTGTAACAAGAAGTCTAATTAGAAGCACAGGTTGTTATCTAATTTAATGTCATTCACTGAAGGCCCTTTGCAGAACTGCATTTAAAGTTGCAACAGGAGCAAATTAATTGATGATCAGTTAAGTATGTATTCTTGACTTTCATTCTGTTAGGGTTCAGAACCATGAGTTTATAGTCACAAGTCTCTCTGTTGAATGTATCATGTCACAAGTCAAGCTGGATGCCAAAGGAGATGCTCCAGATGGACTCAGTCTGGCACTCCTGACTCTGGAAAAAAAAAAAGCTGAGGTCAAATCTTAATGCTGCTGAATTTAAGGTGTGATTTGTTTCTGTTAACTTTGGTGGGGCTGGGAATTCTCCTTTTGTTTTGTCTGTGTAAGGAATATATCAGGGCACAAAGTAAGGCTTACTTGCTTTATTTGAGTACACAAATGTTGCTGAGCTAGTTCTCCAACAGGGCACAGGAATGACAAAAGCACCAGTAATTTTATATAACCAACGGAGTGAGTCAGTGGGGGGAAAAAAGCAGATATTTTAATGAATAGTAGGTTTAAAAAGCAATCACAGGCCAAACAACAAAATTGTCATTGAAAAAATGTTATTTTAAGACCCATGTTAGGTTTTTCAAAATTAAAGGGGATAAAACCCTACTTATTTTAGCTTATTACTGAGTTGAAAGCATCTCTTGAAAGCATAACTGAATGCTCTTCCTTTGCCCTAGTCTTTCATTTGCCTTTCACATTCTGCTAGTCTGTTACTGTGAGGTTCCTTGAACCACTAACAATTATTGTTATTTTTTCTACAAAGAATGGGCTTTGGTTTGGGTGGCTACTGACTGTGTGGTGTGATGTGGGCTCTCACAAGTGACAAAGGAAATCCAGGTCCAGCTTGACCTATACTCCAGAATTAACCAACTGCAATCTTGTTTGAAATTTAGACTATTAATATTTGATTCAATTTTCTACAATCACTTATCAATGATGAATTTCTTCTTAGGGGAGTATGAACACTTTTTTTTTTTTAATATTTACACTTTTATTATGAGTATTTATTATTTATATAGAGGTAATGCCTAGATGTCCCTGTGTAAAGTTGCGATGTAGTGTTTTGAACTACTTGGTGCCAATACTGTATTATGGATGTCCATGTCCCACAGCCCCCTTTTCTGTCCTGCTCCTGTACTGCCCCTTTCCCTCCACTGTGCTGCCACAACCCAGCCGAGGTACTGCACCCAACCAGACAGAGAACCGATCCAGCAAAAAGAAATCCAGCAATTCCCCCTCCCTCCAGTGTTTCTAGCCAAATCGATTTCCCCGTTCAGTTTATATACAGCCCAGCTGTAGAAGAGTTGTGTTGCTGTGAGGAAAAGGGTGGTATATCACAATGAGAGAGACAAATAGGGGACGGTAGGACTGGCAGTACTTTAAGTCAGAACTGCCAACCTCTAAGCCCCATTGTGTTAGCATTCTGTTGTTTTTTGGTGGGTTTTTTTTTTTTTTTTAATTGTTATGTTGAATACCTTGTAATCAAAATTAAGAGCCGACAGGTCTATAAAGAAAACAAATAATGCAAGCACAAGGTAACAGTGAGATCATACCGGTCAACATATTAAAAGACAACGACTGGAAACCACCAGATTAATAATTACTGAGCTTTTCCTGTTTATGTAAAACCAACGATGAATTTTAAGGAGGACACAGTTGAGGTTCATGAAGCGTCTTTGCAGACATCTCTGAGGAATGACTCCCATATGTCACATTAGTTCTAGATAGCTTGACTCATTGCCCTGTGATGAATCTGTGGTTAGAAAATTGACTGTAACACTCATGGAAAAGGTATTTTTTCCCCAACACCTTTCTTTAAATTGTCTCCCCTTTCTCTCTCTGCATCTCTCAAATGGCTCCTCTCTCTGTTGCATCAATCAAAAAATGCTTTCATTTCCAACTCCCTTCTCTTGAAATCTCTTGAAGTGTCCCGCAACCAGCCTCCACTGCACACCTGTTGGATTTCCATGGCTTCCATGTACGTGTCATCTCATATTTTAGAGGCGTTTCCTTAAGTAACAGTAGAACTCTGTGTAATCCTCCTCCTAGCCCTCCTTAAAACTCATCTTTGCTTGAGTGCCCGAAGAGAAGGTGACAACAGTTAGGCTCTGATGCTACTCCTGCTGGCCAGCATCTCTCCATTTCCCGTGTGCTTCCCTTTCTGGACCTTTCAGAAATACACACAAATATACATATTTATAGGCATATGTAATTTGCACTCTGTTAACACCTAGGGGTAACAGCTCAACTGTGGCAATTGCTGTCCAAGCTGACAGTGAAAGCAGCACATTCATGTGTCTCCTCCTGTCTCTTTAAAGCTATAATGTG